AAATTCCACATCATCATCAACAGATTCGTGTGGTGGGCGGGCATCCTGCTTCTTTTCTTGCGAACTTCGGAAGCTGCCGCCAATTGCTCGCGCAGGCGCGGGCGCGCAGTGTCGCCGCGACCCAGCGCGCTGCGTGTGTCGCCGCTCTTATCACACGCCTTGAACTTCTTTCCATGGCAGATGCACGCTCCCTTGCTGCCAGGTCACTGTCCCTTCCCATGTCCAACCTCTTGAGTAACGTCCTCGCTGACTCGTCCGAAACACCTCCGCTCACCTCCCGCAAGGGGTGAGCTTGGTTTCGGGCTTGGGGTGGTTTCGGGGTTTGTAGGAAAAAAATCACCGCAAGCGGCACCGAGCCCTAGAAAGTTTTCTGGATGGCCCCGGGCCACTGCCTCACGCGGGTGCTGCCTTGACGGATGCCACCGGGCCGCTACAAGCTGCAAGCTTCCAGGCCTACGTGGGATGCTCCGATGGGTGCTCCCTGCGTCGCTTGAACCGATCTTGCATGTGGGTGGCAACGCCCAACTTCCTTCACAGTTCATGAGTTTTGCCACCGTGCCATCCGCCGTGAGTTTCTACCCCAGGCCTTGCTGTTGGACTCGCACATACTCGCACCGCACAGCTCCTTGCTCGACCTTCCCTTCGACTCGACACCGCCGCTTCTGCTGCCGGCGAGCCGGCTGCGCATCAGGTTCTGCAGGACGGACGCTGGTTCCATAACCGTCCCCAGCCGACTCCCCCGGCGAGGCTCATCTTGCTGGCTCGGAGGGCGGACCAGGCCATGCCGTTTGGAGTGCGGTGCTGGCACGGGCTTGCTGCGCAGCCACCCCGAACAAGCCCAATCCAGACCCGAGAACTGTGCATTGCCACAGCCGCCGCAACTTCGGGGTAAGCAAAGCGGAGTGCTTGCAGCGCTCGGCGATTTTCTACGCGGCCCCGTCGACATCCGCGGCGCCTGGCTGTAGGTGCCAGGCCCAAGTGGGCGATAACATATTACAAATTGGCATCACAACACACCGCCGGCAAACGAATCAACAGATGCCAAGAGGGACACCAGTGCAGTGTCGACTGCAAATTTGGATGACGTCGATGCGGCTCTCATACTGCTGCGCGACATCAACGTTAGGAGCATCGAGGGACCTGGCCCTGGCACGGAGTCGACGCGCCGGCGGCGCAGGAGGAGCACTCGGAACTCTGCGGAGGGGATTGTGACTGCTTCGTGATTGGGGACAGCAGCAGTGCTCGGGACGCGGAAGGCCGCGTGGCGTAATCCGGTTCGAACGCGCACTGGTCAGAGGCGCGGGCGGCGTGCCCCATGTGCCGCTGCCAGCCTCGGAGACGATGCCCTGGTTGGTCGTGGACGTTGGCGTGCGCTGGGTGCCGCGGCTCTCAAGCATCCCCGGAGGGTACGTGGCAGCCTTGAGCAGCGAGATATGCTCGCTGGCAATGCCGCCGCGACGGGGGTGCGGCGAGCGCGTGCAGGAGGTTGGCGGCGATCTGCGAGGAGCGAGCACGGATTGCAGGCAGCGTGTGCAGTCAGGGAGGGCCAGTAACCGGCATGGCGGTCAGCAAATGCTGAGCGCAGCCAAAGTCCGCCGTACACCCACGGGCAAGCTGCGAGGTCTGTATACTGCGGCAGCTGGCAGTTGATCGCCGCTGTGCACAAGGGAGCCCAGGCAAGTCGAGTGGCAAGTGCAGCGGCATCGCAGTCCGCAGCGAAGTGGGCTGTGAGTGCGGGCGGGAAATTCCGCATGAGGTAGTTGGCCCGGGGGCAGTAGTGCGGCACTAGCCACGCGGCTTGCACGTCTGGGGCGCCGGGGATGCGTGTGAGGGCTGTCCGCTTCGCGGCCAGGAAGCTGTGTGCCAGAGACCAATGCTCTATCGTTCCAAATGCGGCTTTTGCTACGGTTGAGCTCGATGCACGCATGCTCGTGAAGTGCCCCTTGGATCGCCTTGGCAGGCGTCCTGCAGCTCCCGGATGCGCTCGGGAACTGCGACGACATAAATGTCGTCAACGTAGGCAAAAACGGCCCCGCCCTCACGCAGCTGCGCGTGAACAGCTGCGAGGGCTGGGTGTTGAGCTGTCATAGAGGGCCGGCATAAGCGGGTCGCGTTGCTTGCCGCCCTCAGATCGCCGAACCTCGTGGGACTGCCCGTTGGCGTCCTGCCACACGTACGTGCTATTGGAGGCGTAGAATTGGCGCACGTAGGACAACAGCTGCTGCAAGATGGGTCTTTGCCTGAGGCCAGCAAGCATCGCTGGCGAGACACATGATCAAACGCCCGATTGCATCGATGGACAGCACGGTTGCGCGCGGGTCCATTTCAGTAGCAACGCGGAGGAGGCGGACCAGCGCTTCCGTGCCTGCATGTACTTGACCTGACTCATGAACGGGGCCTAGGAAAGAGGCATACAAAGGGGGATGTCAGGTACACCGGGCGTTATCTCCGCCTAGGTTGGCTAGCCTGGAAATAGGCGCCGCCTACTTCGCAACAGATCGCAACAGCCTCCCCACATCTGGTGATGAGCTGGTGCCGGATTGAGGGACTCTTCAGGCCGCTGTGGCTTCCACCAGAAAAATGGATCAGCCGAAGGGGCGAGGACCTGTAGCGCACGTCGGCTCAAGCGCTTCCAATGCTGGTTTCGGAAGCATGCCCACCCGGCGCCGCGAATTGCACACACACTGCACATGCTGCCGCGGCAGGGTGCGGAGGGCTGGTCGCCCCACCAGCAGCCACCAACCTCAGCGGCTAGCACAACATGCTGTCCGAAAATTGCACCCAAAGGAACCGCATCGGGTAGTGACTCGCCTCTACGTTCGCCCTGCTGCTTGCCTTCACTGTTTCCCAGTCCATTGCAGCCCACCCCGTCTTTGCCACCATCTGGCAGTGCCAACGTCGACGGAGAGGCTCCCCGGCGATCTCTTTCCCCATTGCTAGTCGCCTCCCTTGACCGCACATCCCTGTGCCTCAGCCCTGCTTCATCGCCATAGGATATCGCCTTGGATTTGGGCCTCTTGCACTGGGACCGCATTGTGGAGTGCCAAAAATGTGTGTTGAAAAAAACGAAGGCTCGGCCTTCACGCGCGAGGGCGGCGGGGAGCGCACCGGCTCAAGATGCCCAGTAAGCCGCGACGGCACCATTGCACAACGGCACCATTGCACAACGGCTGTTTTTGCACGTGTCAGTGTGTGCATGCCTGAATGTAGATGTGCGTGCGCGTCCGCATGTATGCGTGTCTGTGTGTGTGTACCAACGTACCCCGAGTCGATGACTTTTCTTTAGAACACTCTGTGTATGTGTGTGTGTGCCGAGCACGGGATCCCGAACCAGCAAGACCCTCTATTGAACTCACTTTCAACGACAGATTCTCATTGCGTCGATCGACTCAGTAGCCGTTGTCTGTCGCAGCTAAAAGCATGTTACAGTCGTTGAATTTGAAAGCGAAGGCCCAGTTCAGTCGCAAGCACAAACACATCATTCCCGGAAAACACTGCAGGAATCCAATGCCGATAATCGCTGTGAGCAGGACGCTGTAAGACTGTGAAAAGCCACAGCCTTTCGCCATGACCCAAAAGGCAACGTCTGAGAAGACGTCATATTTCCCCAAGCAGGTCAGCGACACATGAAAGGCGACTTGCAGGCGATGGTGCTTGAGGTAATTCAGACCCTTTTGAGTCTGAGCGATAAGCCAATATTCGAATGCCACAGACGACAGCAGCAACAGAACAAAGCCTCCTTTGAAGCCTGCTGAGATGCCATGACAGGTGTGCTCATCCGTTTCGAAGAGGCTGGCTTGTAAGTATGGAAGGAATGCGACGTAGAGCCAGAATCCAGATGAAAGCAGCAATAGGCAAGTATATAAGCTGGTGCGAGAAGTTAACAAATCCGGGACATCTTCGTACACTGTTCGATCCATCGCCTGCACAGCCGACTCTGGATGTGCAGCAGGATACTTGTGAGGCGCTCCGTTTTGAGCGTGGGCAGTCACCACTGCCGGCGTCCCACTTGCATGTTCGTGCTCTTGGTTTACTAGCAGATTGCCTCCTTCTTCCACGAGCTTTGCAGCGTTGTTTCTGCCCGCAATCTCTCGACACTCTGCTGCAGGCGACGCTGGTCTTCACGATGACGCAGCTCTGCAATATATTCGTTGACAGGTCCGCCCGCGGAACATGCCAGTCCTGCAACGACAGAGCTAATAGTGAACGCACGGCTCGTCCAGTGCAGTTTCTGCCAGAACTCAGCCAAAAAAAGGATCTGCAATACCCCTTGGATAACATCTTCAAAGAGCAAGCGGACGACACCCACAACCCTTTTCACGAATGCGCCCTGAGAATCAGATATTGCCTTCTTCACGTCATCATGGATGTTGATGTCAAAGACCCACGTGTCACTGTGGTACAAGTTGTCATTCCACACTCCCCCACCAGACAAGAATATCCGCGTGCCGATACCACTCGAATCAGGTAGCCCAACCATCACAAAGCCATCTCGCTTTGTCGGCTGGCTGTCTCCAGAGTCGTTCACCTGAGCCCAGGTGGCTTTACAGTCCACGCTTCGATCCAGGAGGCACACGTATGCATCCTCTTCCTGCCCTCTCTTGCTGGTTCCGCCGAAGATTACCATGTAAGATCCAGTCAAGGCAACAAGACCGCATCCAAAACGGTCCACTGGCGGACTGCCCTGAGAAATCACACGCGACCATCTAATAGTTAAAATATCATCTGAGTCATCTGTATCTGACGGCATGGGAACTAAGATATCAGCCAGAAACATTGACATGTCCTGCTGCTCGGGATGAGGTCGTCCACCGCAAACAACGAAGCTCGTGGCATTACATTGGGCGACTTGGTAAAATTCCCGGGCATCTGGAACTTCTCCATCGCCCCTGCAAGATTTCCAACAAGCTGTAGCCAAGTCCAGCTGTGCCACATCGCTGGTTCTGCAGTCGCCCAACACAAGACACGAATGCACCATCACCAAACCACAACATCCTAACCTTGGCCCTGGCTGCCTGCCAGATGCTTGGACCCGATGCCACCGCGATTGGTCAATTCTCAGTAACCAGCAATCCCGCAATTGCCGCCGCTCTGACTCACCCCCATATACGATGACATGTCCAGGCCAGCCCCCGGCAGCATGGCCTCCACGTGCTTCTGGCTTGTCTGAGTCCGCGGCAAGCACAACCTCCGTCCACCGTCGTTGCAACGCATCGAACAGCCACACATCATCAAAGCACGATATTTTACCTTCCTTCTGACACCAACCACCGAAGATCAAGATCGACTTGTCGTCAAGAGCTGTCGCCGAGTGCGCAGCTCGCCCCTTAAATCCTCCGTGTGCAGACACATTGGTCCAGCGTTTGGAGCAATTCAGCAGCACCTGGCCATATTGATCTTCAGTCTGTATTAGCGGTGCAGCTTCAAGCATGCTTTGTCGCTGCAGGCCAAACTTTCGCTGCGCAAGGATATGCAGCTACCGTCTATTGGACTCTAGACTCTCTAGACTCTAACGGACCAGAGCATTGGCATGTAACTGCAAGGCTGCACTTGCACTCCGCTGAATCTTCCGCCTCGCAAGACAAGACCTGGCTGCCCCGGCTAGCAGCTCACTCTGCATCTTTTCTTCTAGGGCTTTGTCGCAGTCCGTGGTGACACCACGGCGACACCCCGACAGGCTCGGCCCTTGTCGGCTCACGGCTTCGGCTTCTTTGGCTTTGCTGGTCCCGCTGGGCCCCTGGGCTGGGAGATGAGATCCGAAAAGCAAACAGTCCCATCTCAGACGTCTGAGGCATCGGCTTGGAAGGGCCAATCTTTTCGGCCTGGAGTGCACTGCGGCAAAGACACTTCGCCGGGCGGGCATTTACGTTGGAGAATGTTGGAGACATTGCAACGATGCCCGTCTGATCCCATCTGCTTGAACACGAAAGCTCGCCCGAGAAGTGTGTCTGCGCTCCGAACAGCATCCGGCTTCCTGCCTTCCGCTTCTCCGGGCCAGCGCTCGGCCCGACTGGTCCGACGGAAGGGCCAGCGGCAGGACCTCTTCAAGGAGAAAGCTTATTCAGTTCATGGGTTCTTGCGGATGGCCTTTGGGAGGTCCCGCCGGCCCGACGGGACCTACGGGCCCGACAGGCCCTCTGGGTCCAACCTGTCTGACGAACAGCAGACTGGATTGAAAAAACATTTTGCACCTTTGGGCTCCGGCACTTGGACCGACGCCTGGGCCAACTGGACCTGAGGATACGGCGGGTAAGGCTCGATGCTCCGCATTGCTCCGTGCTCCCCGCCTCGTGGACCAGGGCCGGCCTCAGAACTCACGGGAAGACAAAGATCACCGAAGCCGCCGCGGACCACTGCAAGCCGAGGCGATCCGAGGCGGCTGCGCCGGGGCCTCTTTGCGGCCTCGCCGGGCCTCGGGAAGAGCACAGAAGCGCGAAGAGCAGCAGCGACAGCAGGAACACGCAAGCATGACCGTTTCCCTGTGCCAACACTCTGTCGCACGTTTCAGACTCGAGCCGACGCCGACGCCAGGCCTCGGGTGGGGATGCTATGCCGCGGTTCATCAAGACCGGAGTGCCAAGAATCGGACTTTGCATCGCTGCCTGGGATGATTTGACCGTGCCATAAGGAGATTTTGGTCATGTAGCCCTCAAGCCTTTCCCATATGCCAAGTCACTGTAGTTTTTTCTCCTCTTGGGCGGAATAGGCTCATAGAGCTTGGGGTTATTCCTGGCCAATGCACTAATGCATCACAGCGGGACACTGTCAACGCACACATGCAAGGAGGGTTCTGCAGTAAGTCACTTGCCCTGCTTGCTCCAATTCGTCACTGTCATCACATCCCAGCACAGAAATCACCACCTGGCCTGGTGCGCAAATGCTCATCTAGCCCATCAGAGATGATGCTGTACTAATGGGGATGCTCTTGGTTGAAACCGCAAACGGAATCCTCGAGTCACTGTGCATCTGCATGCTTCCCAACAAATAACGGGAATCAACTGGGGGGTGGGGTTGATGGTCAACTCCTGCTGCCAAAAGCCCCTCCAGCACCAAGGTTTGGGAGCGAGACAGGGCAGCAACCACCAAGCAACCCGCCACAGCCTCACACGCCGGCTTCCGCAGGCGGCTCAGCACTTTCTTAAGTTTAGAGATCATAGGAGGCTGCTTTATGGAGACCGCAGAAATTCTGCAGAAAGGAGATGGGAGGGAGAAAAGCTTTAGCATCGGGCCTCAGCTCCTCGTCCAGCGCCCGCAGCTGTGCAGTGAAGCCCTCATTTGGGCATGCCTCGTCGAAGTTTGAAGCTGAAGGTGCACCAAGTCGTCGAAAGGCACGGCAGACCACACCACGCCTGCGTCCGGGCGGCCTTCGAAATGGCCATGGCCTCGTCAAAGGTCTTCCTGCGGACAAGAGGTGGTGACGACACCAATCTTATGAGGCTGATGCTGTGATGATGCTGATGATGCTGATGATGATGATGATGATGATGATGATGACGACAACGACGACCACCAGAGCACATGCAAGATGGTCTTCACATCTGGCCACAGACCTGGCTCCAAGGACTTTGAGCACGGTTGCCAAGGCCATCCACGCTCCTATTTGCTGCTCGCATGTTAACGTATCAAGCCCGTGAGCGATTTTGCCCGGGGTCTTATTCAAATCTATTCAGGCCATCGTCTCACTTATGCAGTCCATGAAGTCCTGAAAGAGCTGCAGCACTCAAGCTCTCTCCAAAAAGCAGCCGCAGCAAGCCGGAATGTGTAACAAACCAAACAAGATCGAGAGCAAAACAAGCCGCCAGCCTGCATGCTTTCCAATGTCTCTCGGCGTGTGCTGCTCTCAATGATCTGCTTTACAAAACACCTTCAACCAGCTGACCCAACCCAACTTGATTGCGCGATTTCAATACAGCCATCAGCACCTGTCGACCCAGTTGATGCCAAGGCCCATGTCGACCGAGACCTCGATGTCCGGCCACGTGCTAAGACCCTCGATATCCAAGCCTCACATGTGATCACTTCAGATCCGCACTTGTGGTCCCTTGTCGCTGGGGACCTGCAGAGTGCAGGTAGCTGGTATCAGCTGGTGCTCCACGAGTGTATGACGGTTCATACCCTTTGCACTGCGCAAGGAAAACAGGGGAAATGTTGAGGGAGGCCGACCTCCACGAAGGTGTGCTCGTGGTGCACACGGAAAGAATTCGCATACGGAATATCCTGATCACCATGCGAGGAAACAACGACAAGCCTCTGCTCTCTATCACTCTCTGAAGTTGTCCGGAAGAACTGTTCGGCACCGGTGATACTCCTCACGTTGACCCACACTCTCGGTGCAGCTGAGGAGAGTGCAAGAGCTCTGGTCACCTTTTGGAGGATGACCTACCGGTCCCTCGCTCTGTCTTTTCTGGACACGTGGCAGCACTTTTAGTCTTCGCTCCATGCGCGCGGAGACCCCTAGGTCCTATGCCGCAGCTTTCGGCGACTCTACCCTTCTGCCAGGCAAGTCGGACACTCAGACTGCTCCACGCGGTGGCATCGTTGCAAAGACATGTCACAGTACATGCTGTGGTACAGTCAGCTGCTACGAATCAGTACTACTGAATACTGGTCCTTAGTATGTTGTTAGCTTTTCCAACGACGGACAATAGGTCTGAACTACATTGGGTTGACTCGGCGTGCCTTTGACCCCTCTGCGCTGGGACAGAGGAAGTAGACCAAGGACCTTAAAGGTAGAACATCCATCTCACACACAAAGGCAGATTGGACAAGTATCCTGCACTCGGGTCTTCTCCGGCGCCATTGGTTGGGGCCTGAGCCACTGGGTTCTAGGCCGAGCAAGGACTCTACTCAGCAGAGGATGCGGCTTCAGTGGCTGCACGAAATGCAGGCACTTCACCAGTCCTCCTGCCAGAGGCTCCCAGTCCCGTTCGACCTGCCAAGGACGTTCGCGAGAATCCAAGGGGAGGAAGAGCAAAGTGGCTTGCTCCGGCATAGCCCATGCACGCCAAGATCTGGGAAGATATTCCTCGTCTCCTTCGAAGTACATAGCACATAAAGAAAGTAGACTAAGGAGATCAAAACACGTCAAGAAACTTTCAGGTGTTCTGCTAAGCACGAATTGACATTTGGACTCGCGAGATTGGGGGTCAAATCAACAGTCTTTCTTGGCAGCGGGTCGCAAGTCTCTCCCCGTAAACCTCTCCTGAACCCCTCTCCCAGCCTCTCCCGGTCTCTCCCGAGCCTGGACCTGCCCGCCTCTCCCGAGCTTTCTCGATTCTTTTCCTCGCACCTCACTCAAGCCTTTCCCGAGCCTTTCCGACAAGCCTCTCCCGAACATTCCCCTAACCCTCTCCCGCGCCTCGCTTGAGCCTCTCCTGCGACCTATCATCTCCCGAGCCACCCCCCTTTCTTCGAAGCAGTTCCGAACTTACGAGCCTCTTCCGAGCCACTCCCGTGTTTCCCTCCGCCGCACCAGTCCCCGACCCGATCTACTCCTGAGCTGCCAGGACACATCCAAAACGTCCTTCCGAGTACAACCTCGAAAATTACCTTCAACATGGCGATCATCAAGCCGAATTACACTTAATTCGCCAGGGCCCAGCCGAACAATTAGGCCGAATGCGCATGGTCACAAGAGTTTACCTTTCCCATGACAGCCGTGATCGTCTTGTGCAGGCACAGATCCTGTTGAGCGCAACCCCCCTTCTGCTAAACAGGCCGGTGGCGCCATGTTCTGGGCCCCCATTCTGTCATGCAACCTTTTTCGAGGCAGCTTTTGCTCCGAGCTTTTGAAGGCACCTAAGACTGACCAGCCGCGCTAGTAAACTAGTAGCCTGGCCTCATGATCGGATTCTCTCGGCCGTTGGTGCTGAAGATTTCTCGCACCTGACATTCAACTGCCTGGAAACTCATCCAGCCCCGCTGCAACTGCACGAAAAAACTTTCTGCCCAGGTGCCTTCGAGATGGTCAACCCATCAGGCAGCACAGCCGTGAAGACAGATCGAGTCGGACAAGGCGGCGATCCTTGCAAACACGAGGCTCATGCTGCGACGTTAAGACGTCAGGCGCGGAGCATCCGCCTTTGGTGAGCTTGAGCTCTTCTATCAGCACGTCCATCCCCGGCAGAGGGGGTGAAACACCTGGCGGCAAGGCTACGCAAGCCCACAGCGCCCATCTTCGTCCCGGCAACGTCTGGCTTCGTGAAGCGGAAGACCTTGAGACGATTGCTGCCATAGCTGCTGCAGGACCTGCGCTGGCCTTCGATCAGTCACAACACCGCATTGGGGACACTGGAGATTTGCTGCTGCATCCGTGCATGCTTGACTTGTGGCCTATCCACTGAAAACTGATCCGCCATCCTTCATATTTATGCTGCACTTTTTGCAGACATTCCCTTTCGAGAACAACTTGTACCATCTCAGAGTCTTGCTGAGAATGGCACGCGAGCAAGCTTTCAGGTTGTGGGTTGCCACGCACCGTGCTCCACTGTAAGTGCCGTACCCCGCAGTACCAAACCTCGACTGAAGCACATCTCGCCGCCCGTTAGCCGGTCATGTTCAGATCGGAGAAGTCTCTCAATGCCGGCTGGCAGCTGGAGCCTGAGACGGCCGGGTGGCTTAGAGAGCTCCAGCTCGGCCTGAACGAGAAGGCGGAACGCGAGAACGACCAGTGAAACCGGTCTTGCTCAGAGCAGAGACTCCTCGCAGAGGTTGCTTTGCCGGGACCTCAACCAGTCTCCCTTCCACAGGGCTCCCTGTGACACAAATCTTGCAACAGAAGGAAGAGAGCCGGACGATGGCTTCGAGGACTGGCTGGGTGTCGCATTGGGGTCGAAGACCGAGACACCTGCGACCGAGATCTTCAGTCATCTTTATTCGGCACTCGGCGCTACTTTACTACACTCCCCAAAGTCAAGCCTGCATTCCGACACATCAACAAAATCCAAGGTCCTCTAATTCGTTTGCAGTCCCCTCCGAGCTGCCAGCGTTGCACGTCACTCCAGGGCATCAACTCCGTTGCTCGCTCAGACGACACCTGACTCTCTCAGTCGTGAGCTTCTTCCGCCAAGGGCAGCTTCCAGTGTGCACGGTGCTGGGAAGCTGACGAAGAATCCCTGTGTGCTTTGACTGCTTTGCAAGGAGAAGCCAGCATCCTCAGCTCGCTTAGCCAGCTGTTAACTGGTAGGTTTCCTTGCACCCGCAAGAACTGCCTCTGCTCAAATCGCATCCCCTTATGCGACAAGGGCCCCATCCACGCTCCCAAGTATTACTATTCTGCCACCGTAGACCAAAACAACGAAACAGCACCCATCAGCACCTAGAAGGGGTAGGAGGATGTTTCAGCTCACAGACTTGGATGAGTCCTGTTCCATGTCACGCCCTCCTTGGTCTTGGATGAATCCTGCTGTATGTCACGCCCCCCTACGTCCAGCGAGCTGAAGGCCTGTTGCAGAAGCCCAATTTTCCACCTTAAAAACACCGAAAATACGGAGCACAGCTGCAGGAGTGCTCAACCGTGTGCGCGGGCACCGCAGTACTATGGATTTCCATAAAGTCGGTCCAGCATGAGCCGTGGAACCACGGGCTGTGTTGTCCCCTCAAGCTCCCAAAGACTTGGACCCGTGTATCCACACAACGTCCGAACGTCCCTTGCCCGACACATGTGAGAAAGGCATTGTACCCGGCCATCTCCGGGCTCACATTGCGTGATCGTCCGAAACCAAGATGCAGACTACCGACATACTCAGTATTCCCACTCGGCACAGAAACTTCCTCCAGTGGAAGTGCTCTCGCAACGAAGCAGACGGAGAGACAGAGAGAGAGAGAGTGAGGAAAAAAACAAAAGCTTCAGTTGCCATCCCTCAGGCCATACGACAGCGACCCTGAAGGTACCCCTGTAGTTCGCCGAAATCATGTTTGGTTTTGCCTGTAACTCAAGAGCTTGTCTTCGGGTTTGAAGCTCTCCCGTGCAGCAAGGAACGCTGAGTAGCATCCGCCGCGGACACCAGGGTTGCTCACCCTCTGCTGCGATGCAGGTGACGACCTCATCTACACTGCGAATGGCACAAGCCATCAATACAAGACCGTACCGGTAGCATCAGTGAGGTCGAGTTGGTCTCTAGGGTTCATGGCCTCGCAAACGGCGTTGCCGCCACTGGCTGAGTTGGCAGTCACAGAGCCCTGTCGCGCTGGCCGTGCGCAGGTCGAGACACTTCACTTCACTCGGCCCCGCGGGGGCCTCCAGGAGATCCTCCAGATCCACCAAGCCTGTCCGCACGTGCAGGAGCCGCGCCTCACACTGCACACTGTGCTGCATGCTGCATGCTGCAAGCATGCTGCAAGCTGTAAGCACTGCAAGGTGAAACCCCAGCGGTCCTCCGAGACGCAGGAAGATGCCAGAGCAGTGCGAAGAGTGGGCCTGGCGCTCCCACTCCCAACAAGGAGGGGGCCCTGGAGGCGGCCGCAAGTCCCGTCTTCTGAAAGCGTGTCCGGCTCGCAGGAGCTGCTGGTACTGCCGCTGCAGGCTTCGAACCTGCAGATTGCGATTACAGGTCAGCCCTGAGCCGTGACCACTCACAGAGACGTAGATACATCAGAAACTCCACCGCCTGGCGCAAGGCTCGGGTTGCTGCCCTGACGGCCTCTCGAATCCGACTCCCAGCTGAATCGCGGCATCAAACTGGAACCATGACATACAGGCCCTGTCCTCTGCATTGTCAGGCGTTGCATGTTCTGAGCACAGAGGCGCTTCACCTGAAGAGAGGAGGCTGCACACATACTGTACAGCACCGAAAGTGTCGCTTCGCTCGGTAGCCTTCAGGTACTCGTCTGCCAGAAAGGCGAAAGCAGAAATGTTTGACCTCGCAGAGTTCCGCCAATGCCTCTACCGGCATGCACTCGACTGATCGCTGAAGCACCACTCTGAGATGCGCACACACTTTGCCATGAGAACAAAACAGGGAAGTTTTGCTTGCAAAAGTAGGGAGATAGCTTTGACATTCAGTGGCAGGAGTCGATGGTTTGACAGAAGCTACCTGCGTGTTCATAAAAGAGGATTCGAAGCTACTGCGTGGCCAGCCTGAGCCACACACTGCCCAGCATGACATGCACTTGAGGCACTGCCAGGAAAAACAGACGCGTGTTCACTCCAGAAACAGCCGCAACGATGTCTACAAAAAAGCTGATTTGAACCCAATATCCTGTAGTATTTCATCATGTAGGACATTGCCATAGACCTTCAGCAAACAGGCACATCTGCATGTCGGAACACTCAACTGCTCAATCACTGACTTGGGCTTGGGCACACTGCGCGAGACACCCTGCTGGCAGTGAATCAAGACGGAGCCATCCTCTCATCAACATGAAAGACGCTTACTCGTCGGGCAACTCCATCTTTCCAACTGCGAGGGCTGCCCGATCCTCGCGAATTCGGGCCTTTTCCAAGAAGGTCCAGCTTGCCTCCCCAACAAAGCATGTCTTCGATGCTTTCAACTGAAAATATGTTCAAAAGCCTCGAATCGAGACTGCAGGGTCTCTGTGGCATTGTCGCCCATCGAGACACGGCAATACTCGAACTTTGGATCCTGCGCTGAACACACTTCCATGCTGTTCAATAGACAAGCAATTCAATTTCGGTCGCACCGGAATTCCTTCTCGTACACGTTCGCCACGCCGCCATCCGAACGCGGCGGTGTGCAGTTTAGGACATACCTGGCCAACCGAAGTGAGGCCCAGACTTTCCGGAGAATGAGAACGACACGGACAGCATCGCTGACGTACTGCACTGTCGCCTCACATGACCCAGGCACGTTTCATGCTTGCATCAATCAAGAATCGGAGTGCTTTTTGACTTTGCAAGCGCCGCTTCTCAAGGACTTAGGCTCAAAGATATCTGGCAGAGCACCTCAGGGCAGATGTTGTGATCCCATTTTGCTTGGGTGGAAGGAAGGCATGTCAATCTTGGGAAAGAAGCACCTGGGTCCATGCCAATGCCCAGGGGCCACTCAGTGAGTCCAAGCACGGGCCACTGGCTCGCGGCCTGAACAGCCTGCATATTGGACACTCTCTTTGCTCGGGTGCTCCCGGAAGTCTCCCGAGACGCCGCACCTCTTCGCCCTCCGCCGGGTCGCCGTCAATGCTGCGCGCATCATCCACGTCCATCAACTCCGGGGAAGCCTCCTGCACTACTACGGGCCGAGGGTAACAATAGGAGGATGGGCCCCCCCCCCTTTGACAAAGGGGGTCTTAAGCCCCCTTTTGCGCCCTTAAGCCCCCAGCAAACCCCTCGAAGCCCTTAAGCTTTTTGAGAAGAATTCATGAAAATGACCATGTCGAGCTCTGAAACGGACCATTTCAGCAGAGAAAAATGCATGAATTTGCCATTCCGAATGACCAAAATTACCATAACCAATGTGAAACCACTGCACTTTTGCTGTCATTTGCACATCCAACATGACCATTCCGATGATGACACGTGCATGCTCTTTTGAGAGAAACTCATGAAAATGACCAAGACGAACTCTGAAACAGACCATTTTTGCAGAGAAAGAATCCCTGCATTTTCCATTCCAATGGACCCCAACCCGCAAAACGATCAAAACGAGCACACCGACATTATTGTTTTTCAAAAGAACACACGCAGCTGTTTTTGAAGCTCAACCCACGCAACCACGGGTATTATATAGACTGTCTCACACTGCCACTGCCAGTGTCGGCGGTCAGTGGGCATCTCTCACAGCAACGCAGGACCTTTCCAGGCGACGACGCTTCAGCAAGGCGCGGGGTTGGCGAACCACGGGAACGATGCCAGGCGGACGGCGCGGGACCACGTACACATTCCAGAGCACAGCGAGCAGGACAATGAAGACATCAAAGGTCTCAGCAAGCATGCTCCGTTTAAGCGGGACAAAAAGTTCCCGCCAAGCAGTGAGCTGCTCCGAAGAACTCGTGTTGAGATCACGCAAGCGAGGGTGGCGGTTGATGTCTACTTCCGGCAAATACAGCCGATGCATGGCATTGAGGCACGCAGAATGGTTCTGTGCCAACGGTCGAGCCGCAGCACACTGCTCGCGCAGACCTGAAGGTCGCCGACGCTGGAGGCGACGAACAAAGCGGGCAATGGCAAGCGCACAAGCATTGTCATAAATTACATAGGCTAAAGCTCGTCGGCTCCGAACCGCCGCGAGCATGACGAAGATCTGCCGGAGAGACTCGTTGCCAGCGGTAGGCATGATCATACCAACACGGCCACAACCCAGCACAGCAGTGATGGTGTTACCAAAGCAGCGAAGCCGACGGTCGTGCGTGTTGTTCATATCTTTTCGAATGCCACAAAGGTTTTCAGCAGCAGGAAGATCCCAGACGTCCACAGTGGCAGTGTCGTCGACGGTGCCAGCAAGGCAGACGTATGCCAAGCCCGGCTCCGCGGCGATTGCGACAGTACCAGGACGGTTGCCAGCAGCAGCACCATGGCGAGCACGCGCACACGGCTCGCAGAGCTGGAGGGAACAACCGCGCGGGCAAGCTCAGACCTTGGACGTGGCACCGATCGTCTTGCAGCAGTAGTCACGCAGAAATGTCGTGGCATCGGAACACACAGGCTGCGCAGTGAGACCATGTCCCTGGGGGCAGCGAGGATCCACACGAAGGGCATGGCTTGTGCGGGAGGTCGAGGCCTGAGACGCAGAGCAGCATTACTGGGTTTGGAGGTTGTTTAGTACAACACAGTCCAAAAACAACCAAGGCACGATACAAGCCGCGAGAAGCGCATGACTGCCGTCGCGATGAAGGTGAAGGGTCTATGAATTGCGGCCCCTGTGGCATTGCCTTCCAAAGGCTCCGCAACCTGATTAAAAGCGGGATTGATGGCCAAGCATTGAACATGGAATTCATGATACAAGACAGGACATTGGAGATGTTCGATGCATTGCGTTCCATCTCTTCGTGAGCCACATTGCGATACATTGCTTCATGGCAAACAATGGTCCTCGGACCCAGGCCTTTGCAATTGGCATTGCTGTCTGGTCCTCCCTCTTGATTGGGCAAGGGCATCGGCAACTGGCCCTGGATTGAATTGTCAATTGGGCACCCTGCAATCAGGTTAACCCGGCATTGACGCCGGAGCTCGCGATCCGAAAATTGACCCATTGGCTGGTCCAAGGGCACATTACCGAATTGCTGGACAGCCCTCTTGCGATGGTCGCGCGGGGACCGGCATTGGCAAATGCCACGTCCGGCCTCAAGCGGCCCGACGGCAGAGGTAGTTGGGCCGATTGGCAAAACACCTCGTACATTGGCAGCTCATGGTGCATGATTGCCAACGCCACCGTATGCATTGCCAACGATTTGCGCGCACCAACGGCAATGCTGATTGAACTCCCTGTCACGCTGAGCCAATTAAGTGACATTGTGTTGCACAGTGTGCACTCAGAGTACGGCCCGACAGAGGCCGTCCATCGGCACTTACAAGTGCCCATTGGCACGGCCCGCTTCATTGGCATGCCGGCCATGGTGACATTGAGTGACCAATGGAAAGAAGAGCCGATAGGGCATGGATTGAAAAGGCCATTGCCCGAGACGGCCACCGGATCAAGCCGCCCGAGCAACATTGGCGGCAATATTGGCTCGCGTGGCACCACGCGATGCACAGTGCCATCCGGAGCATTGGTGCAGATCTGATGCAATGATGCATTGGTCGACGACAGGCATTGCGCTATGACTGCTTGCGGCATTGGGCAACATTGGCGGTGTATCTGCCATGGTTGCATTGAGCTGCAACTTTTCTGCATTGAACTCATCATTCGGATGCTGCGGCTATTGGTTGGGTTGACCATTCTGCAGCTGCCCTTTGTTGGCATCATTGCAGCACGTTTTCTCTGCATTGTTGAACTGCTTTCGCATGGCATTGTATCTTCTCTTCATACCGATAACGATTGTTTGCTGATTGCCTGGATGACAGTCGAGAACTGCAAAGGTGACATGACTTTTGACGTTTGTGGTTATTGCCCAATAGGCATTGACCAGGGAACCGTGTTAGATATCATTGTCATGTCCTGATTGCTCCTGGACCCTATATGGTAATTGGCCATTCGACACATTGGCTCAAGTCGCTCTGAAAAGATTCCTGACCGAGTGATTGCATTCTGAAGCAGACTGCATTCTGACTGAGCATTTGCTTGTTGATTGCATTGTGCATTCCAGAAGATCTTGGAAACGTCCGTTGAATTTTCACTTAAGCCCCTCTTAAGCGCCCCTTCGTCGAAGGGGGAGAGGCCCACATAGTACAAGAGGGTGACGAGATGGCAGAAGACTTCAGCGCAAACGTCAGGCGTTGCCTCCTCGGCCTCCTCGGCCTCGGCCTCCTGAAAATCCGGCACCTCAGCCACGGTCACATCTAGCTGGATGTCAGCTTTTAACGGGCTAGCCTAGTCCAGGTCGGCTACAAGTGTCAATAAACTTCGGGAGGGAGGGTTAAGGGGCCGCCTGTATGCGCCCATGCCAATAGCGCTCGCAGTGGCAAAGCCGCAGTCGGCAGCGGGCCACCGGCAGCTGCGCGTTTGCAAGACCACGGCACCGAGCGCCTTGCCGCACCTACAAACATGTGCGCTGACGTGTCCACTGCCTTTGAGTCGCACCCGATCCAGCTCGCCTCTGTGGGTGAAATCTCCGCTGAAGCCCATCGCTCCAGCTTCTGCCGTAGTAGCGAACCCTCTGCCTGGTGACTCTTCAGAGGAACGCTGAGCAGGAAAGAACTTCGGAGAGTCCCCGGCCTCTGCAGCAAGACAGGCCTCCAAGGATGGAGGTATTGCTGAGAGGAGCAAGGCCTCCAAGCCATCCTGGCGTTCGAGCAGGCTGGCGCACACAGAACTCTGCACACCATGACGATGGTACAGAAGAGGGCACTCGCCATAGAACATGACATTGCAGCACTGGCGTCTGCTGAACAGCTCCTGCAATGCCATCTTCGAGAGACTGTATATACTGCAGGAAGAACAGACTGTAGCACCGCGGATGTTAGACATTCAGAGCATTGAAGGGAAGCGCCAGTTGTGGTTTGTGCCTTTGGTGCTGGGCGCCATGTTGCAGGATCACCCGGTGCTGGCATGAAAAGAAGACACAGACAACCTGCATAATGTGGTACTCGCTCGTCACTTAACAGCAGAACCTGCAATCTTTCAGTGACGAAACACTGACATCGACGATTTAAACTACTGGTGACTGCAGCACTCCAATTATGAAAGCTCGATCAGTTGACTGCTCGCAAAGGGCTCAGCGTGCAAAGGACAACTCAAGCAGCCCAGAAACAAAAAACCTAAGAAACTCGCCAGAATCTCCAAGAAGACGGAGGGAAACACTTCCCATGTCCTGTGCGAGCACTGTCGAGTTCGAGGCCACTGAAAGAACGGCACTGGAACGGAACCATCGGTAACCATCGCAGTTCCGGACAGAACCCTCCTCCAAGCATCCAGCATGCTGCGTGAAGATGCCTGACCATGTACGGTCCCACACGAAACCAAATCAAGCTGAAAGCTCTAAGCATACATGCGAGGCACGGCCAGCAGGCCTCAGCCGCTTCCTGACCCGGCAGCCACTGCCCCACTTTCTCGAATGCATCTGGCAACAACTCCTGGCTTGACAAAAGATGAGGGTGCGTGAACACCCCCCACCCCTTTGCTTGACCCTCAACAGGACATTGGGACTTTGTAATCTGA